TGTACTTGAACCTTGTCATTAATGTCATATAAATATAAAATTCTTTTAGTGATACCTGCATTGAATGAACCATTTCCGGGTTGGGTAGATAACATAAATGGTCCTATTGGAATGTCTATTGGTTTCGGAAAAGGATTATTACATGTATGTTTAATTCGCAAAGAACTATATCAAGATTGGATACCAGTTGATATTGTAATTAAAACGATACTTCACGCAATCTGGAAATGCGGTACAATTTCATACGATAATCATATATCAACGTATGTATACTTATAGCTTTATTAAGTTATAAGCATGATTTCTAAAGAATCGTAAAATAATTGAGAATAAAAATTTATATATTTTTCTTTATTTTAAAGCATATTTTATTATATTTAATATTTGTAAACGTTATTGCTCTGTTAATATTTAATGCGAACATTAATAATTTCATTAATATTAACAGCTTTGTTAATGTTAAATGAAACAATTTTTTACTTAATTTTTTTCTGTATATTTATCCAATAATTAAGGATAAATTCTACATATTGCAAGATGTGCAATAAATGATGATATTGCAAGACGATATGAAATATTTTGCGCAAACATTTCCATTGATTTTAAATTATTTACCAGGTTGCCAAATTCTGCACCATTAGTCTTTAATAGTGCATCTGGCAATTTGAATAAACTTTCAATATCGGAAAAGTTACAAAGAGGAATTTACATTGCACGAGAGATTCCTTTCGATCAAACTTTTTGGGCTTGTAATATTTATGTTACAAACAGTTTTACTTTGTTTTATATATTGACTATATTATGGCATATTTTGCCAGCTATGTTAATAGACTTGATTTTAAAATTATTTAATTATAAACCTAGGTAAGTCATAAATTAAATACCATAATCAAATACGCAAATATAAATGTTGTTTAGTACAAATCTATAATAAGTCTACATTAGAATTTTTAAATATTTAACAAAAGAATATCCCGTAAATTTCCCATGTAATTCAATAAGAAAAGGATAGTTAAATTATTAAAAAAAGCAAGCTTTTAATAGTAAAAAGCAAAAAAAGCAAGCTTTTAACAGCAAATTTAATCCTTATAATTATATATTATAGTTTAATCCTTATAAATAATATTTAAGGATAAATAATTAAAATAAAATTATTGTAATTGTACATAACAGTATTGTGCACAAAATTTTTTAGGTTTCTAAAGTTGTTTAGAAAAATATATATACAAAATTGTGAGTTAAAATGTTTTGCATACTATGATTGGATATTCGATAATGCAAATGCACTATTTATAAATGACTCATTATCAGTTAATGCAGAAGAATTCAAATTCCAGACTAATAATATTCAAAGGGACTCTTTAAAGTAAGTATATGAGAAGATAAGATGTAATAAAAAAATAAAATAAAATGCAGCAATATATAATTTCCCTATGTTTCATATTTTTATTAAAATATATATAGGTTGTCTGATTCCTGATGAATGATACACCGCTTGTGTGCAGATAGAGTGGGTCAAACTGAAGTAGAAAAGTTTTCTATCATTTCGCGTTTTCTATTCTTCATTTTTGCAATTAATAATGAGTTAAAAATTGCCGCGTATCTGCGCGTATCTGCACAGACCACTAGGGACCACTCGAGGCAAATATCAAGCGTACAGCGAGCGTACGCTGCTTATACATGCGATCAGCGTTTAGCGTTACGCGCGCGCGCTGTTGTTGCTCGCGATTGTTAAGAGCGCGATAGAATATTTGAAATTATGTTACTATAAGCAGATGTTTTTTCCTTTGTGGATCACACCTAAACATCTCGCCGCATTTTTAACAATCGCAAACGAGTGTAATGTTGGACAATCGCATCCCGCTGCTTATGCACAATATGCCAATGGACCGGACAAATACGCGCAATTCGGCAATGTTTAATAATTAATAACTTATTACCAATCGCAAAATGATAGAGGATTTCTCTGTTTAGTTCTGTTGACCCACTCTATGGTATACATGGTCGTAGTACTATTTCGAATCAGATAATCTGTTTAATATCAAATATTAGGTATATTATAGAATTATACTATTTTTTATTTTACTTTTCTTAAATTACG